GAGTTTGCTCATCTAAATCAGGCTGGGGTGACTGGGAAGGTGACTCAGTGGTAGAGTGCTTGTCTTGCATGCATGAGGCCCTGGGTTCGGTTCTTCAGCACCACATAAGCAGAAAAAGCCAGAAGTGGTGCTGTGGCTCAAGTGGTAGAACACTGGCCTTGAGCTGAAGAGCTGAGGGACAGCACTCAGGTCCAGACTTCAGGCCCCACGACTGACAAAAATAAATAAATAATAAATAAATAAATAAATAAATCAGGCTGGGCAGGATTCTACATGGCTGACAGGATTTTTTTTCTCCCTCTAAATACTTGACATGTAGAACCTCTTCTCACTTCAAGGTTTTTCCTCTCTCCCAGTTATTTTCCTTATATTTCTGGTTCTCCACAGCATCATTAATGAATAAGCAATGAAACCTATTTACACAGAAACCAATACCTATTGACCTGTTGTTTTTTAAGGTATCTGAGTTTAAGGCATTCCCTAAATGACAAACAGAAACCCTTCCTCTCCAAACTATTGATGTGGGTTCCAGCAGAACGGGGGGCGGGGGGGGGGGGAAACGCTAATGAGGCAGATAGAGGAGGTGCTGTGGGCCTGATGGGAAGCTGGCCCTACTTCCCTACCCCATCTCACTGAGTACCGCCTGCCCTCCCATCCCAGGTCCCAGCCGACGGTTCAAGCGAGTGGTGGAGACCATTCAGGCCCAGCTGTTGAGCACTCATGACCAGCCCTCCGTGCAGGCCCTAGCAGGTGAGTGTGGGGCTACAAGTAGCAGACACACATGGGTGGCTTGGTAGAGACAAGGCTTCCGCAGTGGGAAAGCCGGGCCTTCCTCCTGGTCTCTCTGGCCATTGTCTGCTAAGGCCCACCTGCATTGTTGTGAGCCAGAGGTTGGGGACTGAGAAGGGACAACTCAGCCACCCCTCACCCCCAGAGACCTATCTCTGGAGTGGCCACTGCCTTAGGGGGTGGGCAGGAGGGAAGTCGATTATTTTGCCACTAAAGTTGCCCTACACTTTGCAGGAAAGTGACCAGCCAACCTTGGTTTTCCTGGAACAGTGGAGGTGTTTCTGGGACCTAATTTATTTTTTGTCCATCATGGGGCTTGAACTCAGGGCCAGAGTGCTGTTTCTGAGCCTCTTTGTGCTCAAGATTAGCGCTCTACCACTTGAGCCACAGCCCCCATTTCCAGTTTTTGCGTGGTTAATTGGAGATAAGAGTCTCACAGGGACTTTTCTGCCCAGGCTGGCTTTGAACCACAATCCTCAAATCTCAGCCCCGAGTAGCTAGGATTACAGGGGTGAGCTACCAGCACCCAGCTTCTGGGATCAATTTATTGTTGCTGGGTGCCGGTAGAGCACATCTGTAATCCTAAAAGGGAAAATTATTGTTCACAGTCTGACATCTGGAAAGTTCCCATATCAAATTACAGATCTAGTGTCTGACAAGGACCTGTTCATTTCTTGGTCCATAGAAGGTTGCTCACCTTCTTGCTGGGTCCTTATGGGATGGAAAGGGTGGAATCTCTGAGGTTTATGTAGAAGCCCATGAAGCCCAACACCAGTGACTCACACCTGTCATCCTAGCCACTCAGGAGGCTGAGATCTGAGGATCACAGTTCCAAGCCAGCCCAGGCAGAAAAGTCCATGAGACTCTTATCTTAGCTGGAAGTGATGCTGTGGCTCAAGTGGTAGAATGCTAGCCTTGAGCAAAAGCCCAGGGACAGAGGCCATACCAAGTTCAAACCGTGGGACTGGCAAAAATAAAAATAAAAAAGAAGCACATGAACCTTGGCTAATCACTAATCATGACCTCTCAAAGGCCCAACCTCAGTACCAGCACCTTGAGGATGGCATTGAGTTCAGCCGTGACATTCGACACGCTTGCCCTGACCATCATTGACTTTATAGAGTTCCAAGGCGGGATCCTGGCAAAGAGAGCGCCAAGCACACTGTGGCCACCAGAGGGCAGTCATCTGCCAGCCTGGCTGCTCCATCCCAGACCCTCTCAGGACAAGGAGGCCCCGCCTCCAGATGCCCTAGTCACTGGGGTACACTGAGCTCCAGGGTTAGGTCTTCACCTTGAGGACCAGAGATTCAGGACAGACTAGAATTGTCCCCAGGTTAGCTTCCTAGGGCCACCATGCCCAAACAAGTGGAAACTATACAGGCTGTCACCCTATAAGCCTTACAGTACAGATGCCCTGTCCCTCCCAACGTTCCCAAGGCTGACATCAGGATCCCCAGGGCTTCCTGCCTCAGAGACCCCATGGCAGAACACGCTTTTTTTATGTTAGTCATGAGGCTTGAACTCAGGCCTAGATGCTATCCCTGAGCTCTTTTGCTCAAGGCTAGTGCTCTACCACTTTGGACCACAGTGCCACTTCTGGTTTCAGAGTGGTTAATTAGAGGCAAGAGTCTCATGGAGACTTTTTTTCCCAGACTGGTTTCAAACTGCAATCCTCAGATCTCAGCCTCCCGAGTAGCTAGAATGATAGGTGTGAGCCACCGGTACCTGGCTCTAGCCATACTTCTTTGCTTGTGGCTCTTCCAGGGAGTCAGCCAGAAGTACTATTCTGGCTCTGGCCTTGGCTAGGTCATTGAAGAACTCATAACTAGTGCTGCGTGTCAGTGGCTCACACTTGTTATCCTAGCTACTCAGGAGGCTGAGACCTGAGGATTGCAGTTCAAAGCCAGCCTGGGCTGTAAAACTCTTATCTCCAATGAACCACCAGAAAACCAGAAGTGGTGCTCTGGCTCAAGTGATAGAGCGCTCGCCTTGAGCTGAAGAGCTGAGGGACAGCAGCCAGGCCCAGAGTTCAAGACCCACAACCAACCAACAAATAAATAAATAAGAACTCATAACTAGGAATGTGGCTTAGCAGTAGAGTGTTGGCCTAGCATGCATGAAGTCCTGGGTTGGATTCCTCAATACCACATACACAGAAAAAGCCGCAAGTGGAGCTGTGGCTCAAGTGGTAGAGTGCTAGCCTGAGCAAAAGAAGCTGAGGGACAGTGCCCAGGCCCTGACTTCAAGATCCAGAACTGGGAAGAAAAAAAAAAAGAATTCATAACTAGCCTTGAGCCAGCCTATAATCCTAGCTACTCAGGAGGCTTGGATCCAAGAATCGTGGTTCAAAGCCAGCCGGGGCAGGAAAATCTATGAGACTCGTATCTCCAATAAAACCACCAGAAGTGGCACTGCAGCTCAAAGTGCTAGAAGGCTAGCTTTGAGTAAAAAAGCTCAGGGACAGCGCCAGGCCCTGTGTTCAAGCCCCAAGACGAACAAAAACAAAACAAAAAGCAAACAAAAAAACCTCATGACTGAGTTGGGTCTACACAGATAATCCAAGCAAGTCTCCTCACCTAAAGAAATGAACCCTTCCTTACAGGGAAGATATGTCAGTGCTGGGGTGTGGCCACCTTGAGGGGCACAGTGCCATTATTTGGTCTGCCACAGCCTCCCAAGAGACACTTAACAGTGTAGGAAGACATCTTTGGTTGTCTAAACTGGGAGGGAACGGGGACATTAGGGGCAACTTGGCAGGGTTGGGATCAGGGAGGTGGAGCACAGGTGCCTTCAAACTTCTGCCCCTCTCAGAAAGGCCCTCAAAGCCAGAGGCCATCGAAAGGCATGCTGGGTGAGAAACCCTGGTCGCCCTCATGGTTGCTAGGGGCAACCAGAGAGCACATGAGGCCCTGATGAGCTCTGTTGCCAAGGAAAGCTAGCCTTAGCATCTTGGAAGCTGGAGGTCCAAGACCCATGACTGGGTGTTCTCCACCTTGTCCCGTGTGCACCTGTGAGATAGAGTTTTGCCATGCAGCCCAGGTAGGCCTCAAACCCACAATCTTGGGGTGCGGCCCCTACCTAGGAAAGAAAGTCCAGGCTCTGTGGATCGTTGTCCCCGGAGGCCGTCTCTGGGCTTGAAGTCGCACTGGCACTGACTGACAGGAGGATTTGTTTTGAGGCAGTCTCCACTGGGACTTTGGGGAATACGGAGAATACTCAGACACCTCCTTCCTCCCTTCCCGTTCCCACAGATGAGAAGAACGGAGCCCAGACCCGGCCTGCTGGCGCTCCTCCCAGAAGCCTGCAGCCCCCCTCCAGCCACCCAGACCCTGAGCTAAGCAGCTCCCCGCGCCGAGGCCCCCCCAAGGACAAGAAGCTCCTAGCTACCAATGGGACCCCTTTGCCCTAACGCCAGGGGGCCAGGGAAGGAGGGGAGCCCCCTCTACCCGCCTTCCCTGCCCCTCCCCAACTGTGAATCTGTAAATAAGGCCCAAGGAATATGTCGGGAGGGGGGGGACACACAAAACCCGGCTTCACCCTGCAGGGATGGGGTTCTAGGGGTCGTGCCCAATGTGGGGGGAAATCTACAGCAAAAAAAGGGGGCGGGGAGCTGTTTCTATTTTATTTATTTTATTTATTGATCAATCTCTGCGGGTGGGGTGGGGGAGGGAGGGGAGCTGGTTGGGGTGGCTTAGCAGATCCGGACAGGGCCCTGACCCTGCGTCATCCCCAACCCCCCCTTCCTGGGCCCTCCTCCCCCCTCCTCAGTCCTTCACCCTCCCCCAAGACCTTCTGTACGGATTTGCTCTCCCGGAAGGAATTCTGGTTTCGCGTGATCCTGCCTGCGTCCGTGTCTCTGATTCCGCCGGCGGCAACCACAAATAATAATAATAAAATAGCCTGATCAGGGAGGGCTGGCTGGCCTTGGTCTCTCAGGGTGGCCCTGACGGCGGCCACGGGGCAGGCGCGGGTGGGTGCTCCCGTGCCAGCCACACCTGGTGTCCCAAGCTTCCCACAGACCCATCCACGGGCTCCGGGACAGAAATAGAAATGGACCCCCTTCCTGGCCTGTTGCAGATACCCCTACTGGTTCATCTAGGCAACAACCAGAGGTCAGCCCCATTTCTTCTCCCATGAGGGTGAGGGATGAGGCCTTCCCCCCCCCCCCCCCCCCCAGTCAGAGTATCTGCGGCAGGTGGGTCTTCAAGGCTTCAGGGCCTCAGGGGTGGGGGGGAGGTCAGGGGTGGGGAGTGGAGGCCTGGGGAGGCTGAGGGCCTGGGCGTGAGACTCCGCAAGGGCTGAAGACTCAGGGTGCAGCCTTCCAGAACCGAGAAGTCCACGGCAAAGAGGCCAAAGAGGAGGAAGAGCAGCATGGCCACGGCCCACTCGAAGGCAGCAGAGGTAGACCGCAGCCTAGAGGAGTACAGGACCAGCACTTCACATCCAGGTCAAGGGCCACACACAACTTCAAAGGATCCAGGAGCCTAGGTGTGACCTTGACCTAGGCCAAGGTCATCTCCAGGTTTCCAGAGGTGTCCACATGTCCTAGTCCAAGTGGCACCCAGGCTGGCTGCCACCTCAGCGATAGCCCTCTCACCTATATTCCCTACAGGGATTCTAGATCTTTCTGTTCTCACGTTTGTCTTTTGTGTGTGGGAGGGTACTGGGGCCTAAACTCAGAGTCTGGCGCTCTATCCCTTAGTGTTCACTCAAGGCTGGTGCTCTTATCACTGGAACCACAGTTGGTGGTTCATTGGAGATAAGAGGTTCATTCACACACATTCCTGTCTGGACTGGCTTTGAACCTCGATCCTCAGATCTCAGCCTCCTGAGTAGCTAGCTGAGATTAAAGGCAAGAGCCACTAGCACCTACCTACCACTTGCCAATTTTGAAATAGACTCCCATCCTGCTGCCTTCGGCCTGCCACTAATTCCACTGAGGACCTGCACAAAGGGCCTCAGACAAGAGGCCCCGTCTCTGAACCTGCTTCCACTCTATACCCCTGACCCAGCCCAATGACAGCCCTGGGGGTAGGGGGTGCCCCAAACACTGCTATTTGTGCATCTTCCTAGTATTTATCAGCATGCCAGGCATAGATCTCAGCACTTCAGGGATGCGGTCCTATCTGCAGCTCACAACCTATCTGAGAATTTAAGAAACCCCTGGGGGCTGGGAAGTTGGCTCAGTGGTAGAGTGCTTGCCTCTCATGCATGAGACCCTGGGTTAATTCCTCAGCACCACTTAAGCAAAAAACAAAACAGAAAAAGCTGGAAGTGGCACTGTGGTTCTAGTGGTAGAGCACTAGCCTTGAGTTGAAGAGCTGAGGGACAGCACCTAGGACCAGAATTCAGGCCCCACAACCGTCAAAAAAATAAACTTCTAAAAAGGAAAAAAAAAGAAACCCTGAAAGTGTCTGGAAATAACATGGAGATAAGGTTCCATGGCAGGTGGGAGTCTCCAAATCACTGCTTCTCAAGAGGAAGCTGAGGTCCCAAGCAAGAGAGACCCAGAGCTGTGAAGGGACACACAGCCAAGGTGTTGATGTAGAGCCACCCCCAGTCCCCCCCTCGACTCCCAACAAGGATACTGGCCACCATGAGCATGGTACAGAGGCTGCAGAGCCCCAGACGCAACCAAGCCATCCAGGGGGCCCCAGGCTGGGGCAGGCCCTTCACCCACCAGCAGAGAATGATCTGCAGCCAGAAGTAGATGTTACCCAGGACAAAGGCAAAGAAGGCCCCAGTCATGTGTGTGGGCTTCTGGTTCTTTTCCTGGAGAAAAGGAGAATTGAGAGGAAGTCTATAACATCAAGAAAAGAGCAATGGGGATGGGCGGGATGGGGCGGGGAGGGAAGAAGCTCTGAACCAACCCGACTAGGTTAAATGAGGTGCCTGGGCGCTTGCGCCTGTACTCCAACCTACTTGAGAGGCTCAGAAATGGAAGGCTATCACCCTGGCAAAACATGCAATAGCTGTGCATGGTGACAGTGCCAGTCATCTCAGCTACATGGGAGCCTGAGATTGGGAGGACTCTAGTTCCAAGCAGTAAAGTCTGAGAGTCCATCTCAGTGAAAGAAGCTGGAATGTGGGTGGAGCCCTGGAATGCCTGAGTTGTGGAACTACAAGTCCCACAAGGCCTTGCAAAGCAGATTCTCCAGAATTAGCCCATCTAGGCTGCAAGGAATGCAGGGAGCTGTAGTCCATTCTCTATTGGCCAAACTTGGATGGGCACCCAGTGCCAGCTTTACCTGGAAATTGCCGGCTACAGAGGTCCCCAAAGCACACAGGATCCCGGACCACAGGATCAGCTGGTTGGGCCATGTCTTGACACCCCAGTCTCGGAGCTGGTAGTAACGCACAATGCAGATCCAGACAACTGAGAGAAGAGCAAAGGGAGGACTGTGGCCCTCCTCAGGGATGACGGCAGAACTGGCGCAGAGGTGGAGGAGGATAAAATGGCCTTGGCCAGTGACTGGGGCCAAAGCTCCTGCACTTCTGGATGTGAAGGCCGAGGAAATGGGGTTTACATTCTGGCTGGGTCTCAGGGAGGAGGCTGGGGCCTGGACCTCTGGGTCTGAGGGAGGAGGCTGGGGTTATCTCTCCTGGCCTAGGCTGGCAGGAAGGGAATACTTACCCATAGCGGCTCCTATGTTGAGGACCTGGCTGAATATGCAGCTCTGGGGCGGGAAAGATCCACACTTGCTGCAGAAGATGGAAGGTCATCCTGTGGGTCATGACCCCAGCCCCAGCCTCCCATCTCCTCCCTGTATTCTCCCACAACCACCTGATGAAGGGGAAGTCTTTGGTGAGGTCCACGTCCCTGTTGATCACGGCAATGGCAAAACTGCAATGGAGAAACACCCTGATGTGAGGAGGGAGCTTTCAAGGCCCTTTCTCCAAGCAGCCAGGCCCTTCCCTCATTGACAGCACAGATTTGGGCTTCCAGAGCCTCCTTCCTCAGACCTGAGGGTCCAGACCCCAGCCTCCTCCCTCAGACCCAAGGGTCTAGACCCAAGCCCCCTATCTCAGACCCAGAACTACAGCTCCCAGCCTCCTCCCTCAGACCTGAAGGTCTATACCCAAGCCTCCTCCCTCAGATCCAAGCAGCCCTCTGGTTTTCAATACTCACACCAGCCAGATACCAGCACTAGCCCATAGTGCCAGGGAGATGGGCACAAGAGACAGGTAGCCCCACATTCTGGCTCTGAAGAAGGAGGCGGGGCCAGCAGCCTTTTCTCAGGCTGGCAGGTGAAGAGCAGACCTAGGTGTCTCCCGCCCAACTGAATTGGCTTCAGGCAGAAGCAATGAAGAGGCAGAGGCCAGCCATGGCTTAGGAGCGCCGTCCTTTTATCGTCTCCAGTGGTCAGTCCTCACTTCCCCGTGTGTCCACTCCCAGCTAGGGCCTCCCCAGGGCCATCATCCCCTCAAGCTCTGCTTCCCTCACTCTCCTGGTCTATCTAGGGCTGGATAACAGCTCCATCCAGGAAGGCTGAGAAAGGCTGAGGTCGGGCGGGGCTGGACTGGCAGGCAGGCCACACAGGCAAAGTCCAAACCCAGCAGCAGTCTTGGGCTGGACTGGTCAGTTCCTACAGGACCTCGCCCCAAAACCACCACTTCCTGTCTCCTCAAACCCAGCAGTCAACACCCCAGTTTGGGGGAGCCCCTAACTTCCTTCTTCTAGTTTTGTGAGTTCTTTTTATTTTTATTTTGTCAGTCATGAGGCTTGAACTCTGGGCCTGGGCGCTGTCCCTCAGCTCTTCAGCTCAAGGCTAGCGCTCTACCACTTGAGCCACAGCACCACTTCCGGCTTTTTTCTTTTTGCTTTCGTGGTGCTGAGAAATCGAACCTTGGGCCTCATGCATGCAATGCAAGTGGTCTACCACTGATCCACCTTCCCAGCCCCAAGGTGTAGCCCAGGCTGGTCTTGAACTCGTGATCCTCCTGCCTCATCCTCCTCATTGATTACCGGCATGTGCCACCATGGCCGGCAAAATTATTTTTTTTGCTTTATTTTTGGTTGGTTATGGGGCTTGAACTCTGGGCCTGGAAGCTGTCCCTCAGCTCTTCAGTTCAAGGCAAGTGCTCTACCACTTGAGCCACAGCACCACTAATTTTAATTTTTTTTTGTCAGTCGTGGGGCTTGAACTCTGGGCCTGGGTGCTGTCCCTGTGTTCTTCAGCTCAAGGCGAGTGCTCTACTGCTTGAGCCACAGCACCACTTCTTTCTTTTCTTTTTTTAGTACTGAGGATCGAACCCAGGACGTCGTACTTGCTAGGCAAGCGCTTTGCCACTGAGCTATATCGCAGCCCAGTCTTTCTTTTCTGTAACACCAAGTTTCCTAGGCAGAGACCCTGGTGGCAAAATGTGCTGGCATTCAAGTACTCCAGCCACACCTCTACTTCTGACTTTTTGATGGGTCATTGGAGATAAGAGTCTCTTGGACTTTGCTGCCCAGGTTGGCTTTGAACTTTGCTCCTCAGATCTCTGCCTTCAGCATAGCTAGGATGAGAGGCATGAGCCTCCCGTGCCTGGCCCAGCCCCTTCTGGGACTCAAGTGTCTGGATCAAGCATTCACATTTATTTGCTTATTTATTTTGACATTTCTGGAATTTGAGCTTGTTTGGATTCCTTGCTAGATTGAGACTCTACAACTTGATCCAGTCCCCAGACTGTTTCTTAACTGAAATTTGACCCATTAGTAGCTTAAAAGTTAAAAAAAAAAAAAAAAAAAGAAGAAGAAGAAGAAGAAGTTGGCAGGGCACTGGTGGCTCATACCTCTCATCCTAGCTACCCAGGAGGCTGAGATCTGAGGATGGAGGTTCAAAGCCAACCCGGGCAAGAAAGTCCATCAGACTCTTACCTTCAATTAACCACCAGAAAACTGGAAGTGGCGCTGTGGCTCAAGAGGTAGAGCACTTGCCCTGAGCTAATGAGTTGAAGGACAGCACCCAGACCCAGAGTTCAAAACCCAGGTAGTACAGAAGGCTGGTTCAGTTCCACCAGTCACATTGTGAGTACAATGCATCTTGATCCCTTCTGGCATTTCCAGCCTTTCCACACCCTCAAGTTTGGTCGTTAACTTTTACATAATATACATGGAATATAATGACTGTATTTGCCCACCCTTCTTTCAGCATCCCTTTCTGGCTCCCCCTCCTGTCTCCTGCCTTTGGGTGCTAGGATCCCATTTGCTGCTACCCAAAACGTTCTTGGTCCGTACTCTCTGCTAAATTGCAGTCTGTGTGGTCTTGGACTGTGTACCTCCTCTTCCTGTCTCCAGGCACCCATTCTCATAAAGGGGGCTCCCCCCAAACTCGCTTGGTAGAGACAGTCATGAGCTTGGAAAGAGGCTGCCGGTCCGTCCAACTGGGCTAGAAATGCCGGCAATTTATTGAGGGTGCTGAAAGCTAAAAGAGAGAAAGCATGGGATGTGGGCTGCAAGATGGGAGGGCTCAAACACAGGGCAGAGGCAGGCCAGGAGGAAGAACCTGGGGGTTGAAGGCTTGACCCTGCCTTATTTCCCCAGGTCAAGCAAAACAGCAGGTGCTTGACCTCAGGCAGGTCATTCAGTGGGTGAGCTGGCTGAGAGTTCCTTTACCTTAAGTGGAGCATTCCCTCCGGGGCCTGGCCAAAGGCGGGTATCCTTGGCCCCCAGGAGACCATAGCCTGTTTTTTTTTAATTTCCTGTTTCCTCATTAAGGCCAATATAAGCCTGACCCCCAACTCCTCCTCTTCCCACAACCTCCATTGCCACAGGAAGGTTGCTTGCCTTTTGCAACCAAAATAAACAGTTCTTCTCTAAGGCAAGAGTTCCACCTGTTCTTTCTCCTCCACGTTCTTTTTTTTTTGGGGGGGGGAGGGGTTCGGTTGTGGGCCTGAACTTCTGGGCCTGGGCGCTGTCCCTCAGCTTTTCAGCTCAAGGCTAGAGCTCTACCACTTGAGCCACAGCGCCACTTCTGGCTTTTTTTCCTCTTTGCTTATGTGGTGCTGAGAAATCGAACCCAGGCTGTGCCTCAGGCATGCAAGGCAAGCGCTCTCCCACTGAGCCACCTTCCCAGCCTGCCTCCTCCACGAACTTAACTGGGCCCATGCTGTAGTGTTGAAAGCCCAGGTCCTGCGAAAATCGAGATTTCCCCTGAAGGAATCTTGGAGACCGGAAGCAGGTGAAGGGTGGGGGAGGGGATTACATAACAGGTGTGAGGTTTTCTTTGGGGATGGTAAAAATGTCTCCCAAGTCCACAGCAGGGATGGTTGCACAATTGTTCATTCTGGTACCCTACACCGCTGTACACTCTGGAATGATTACAGGAGTGAATTTTACCCCTAAGGAAATAACAAACAACAAAACATTGCCTACGCCCTTTGCCTGAGTCTCCAGCCCCCAGGTGCACTGCTTCAGAGAAACAGGCTCCACCCAGACCTGAACTCCACCCTCCCCTTCACAAAGAAAGGAGAATTCTCTCGGGGGTTTCTCAAGGATCGTTCCTCATTCCTGCTCTCCACCCAGACCAAAACCCCACCCTGCCAACCCACTATCTCCAGAGACCAGCTTCCTTGGAGGAATACCACGTGCCTGCCCCCAGTCCCAGAACGGTATTAGGGTGCTCCTGAATTAGGACAGGTGCCATTTCTCCCTCTCTATTGCCATTTCTCCCTCTATTGCTTCACCCCTTTGCTGTATGTGACTGTGTCCCCGTGGTCTTCTGGGATGGGTGCTTTCAGGGTGGAAGTGAACAAGGCTGGCTTGGAACCGTGAGCTGCCGACATCAGCCTCCTGAGTAGCTAGGATTACAGGCGAGAACAACTAGCACTAGGCAATGATTATCACCACTTTATTCTTCTTTGTGTTTTAAAATAAGGTTTAAGACCATAAATATAGTCTTTTTATAACTTTTAAAGTTATAAATGTAGCTTTAAGTGAGAGAGAAAAAAAAAAGACAAGGGATCCAAAGTAGCTAAAGCTTGCAGATCTGTACTCCTGGGATTTTTCTGAATACTTTTGAGTATATGAGAAATACTTCAGTAGATCAGAAAAAACACACATTGCTTGCAAAGCAGCACACTTAATTAATTTCCTCTTATTTCCTCTCATTCACCTGGAAATGTAAAGTGATATATATGTACTTATTTAGGTGCGGATACTGGGAGCTTGAACTTGGCCTGGGCGCTAGTCCTTGAGCTCAAGGCTGGAGCTCTTACCACTTGAGCCACACACGGCTCTACCTCCTGTATTTGGGGGGTAAAGTGGAGATAAAAATGTCACGGACTGCCTGGATGGATTTCGAACCGCCATCCTCAGATCCCAGCCTCCTGGGTAGCTGCGATCGCAGGTGTGGGCCCCCAGCCCGGTGGACAGGTGGAAGGGGCAGCCCGGGCGGCTTGGGCCGGTCCCCCCCGACGTCTATCCAGGACAAAGAACTCGCCCCGCCCCGCATCATGCGAGGCCCAGGAAAACACAGCTAAGTGGAAAACAAACACAAAGACAGCCAGCCCCGCGGGTGAACGTGTGCTGTCTCTAGGACCGGGAGCCAGGCAGTGATCCACCTTAAACGGGGCTCCCCAGGGGGCGCCCCCCGGGTCAGGGCTGGTCTCCAGGCTCTCACTCACTTCTCGGCCTCCCCAGCTCATCTCGCAGGAGAATCCCCCTGAGAACTTGTGGATACACATTTCTAAAATGGAACAAGCTAATTGGAAGTAGGAGGGAAAGAAAAGAGAACACTGTAGCCAGGCAGGGCTGTCAATAAAGTTCGGTCGCCTTGGCAACGCCAGGTCTCCCGGGGGCGGAGGCGATAGAAGCGCGCGTTCATTCTTCTACCCGCCTCCCAGCCATCCCGGATTTCTTCCTCCTGTGGCTGAAAAGGAATAGGAAGGCCGAGACTCTATGGTGACGAGCGGAGACCTTAGCCAATGAAAGGATAAGTCGTCCTGGAATCTCCCATTCGTATAAGTTGTAGGCCGGCAGAGCCCGCCCTCTCTCCATTTGGACCTGGATAACCTGACCCGATTATCTCTCGAAGCGACGGCACTTTTGGCCAATGAGAACGTTGACTGGATGCAGGGGAGGAGGAGGCGTGACAAGTTTCCATGGTAACAAGTGACTGACGGCAGCCTGAGCCACTGGCAATAGTTCATTGGGCTAATTGGCAGCACGGGTGTGGCGGGGTTTTGTTGAAGTGCTGACGGCGGGGGGTTGGGAGGGGGAGAGGAAAAGGAAGACTAGGCCAATAGGCGCGGCGCGAGCTCCATGGCAACCGAAGAGTGGCAGTGGGCTTAGCCAATAGGAGGCTATGGCGGCCGTGCGGCGCGGGACCTCGAGGCTTGCTGGGCGTGGGGGGGGGGTGGAGGGGAGAGTCGGCGCGACCCGGTCTGGACGAGAGCTGGAGGCAGTGGGTGGTGCTGGCGGCGGCGGCGTGGGTGCCCGAGAAGGAGGAGGAGGAGAAGCGGGTGAGGGGCGGCGCGGGGTCGGTCTCTGAGCCCCATCTCGGT